AGTACTGAAATTCGATATGCAAAAGAACACATAATTGAAATAATGTACTTGAAAGAACACAAACTTTCTTTCTGAACCATTCTTTCAGCCACTCCTGCCATTTTATACCCCATCTACAGAATCCATCTATAACCTCAATGCAGTTCGGTTAAGTCCATGATAATGCCATTTCTACTCAAGTCAGAACCTTAGACCTGGGCTGTGGCTCGAGGGCAGAGGACTCGCCTCACATGTAGGACACCCTGGGTTGGGTCTTCAGCCAAAAAGAAAAGGTTTTGTTTGCATTTGGCCTTTCTCATGGTCTTTCTCTCCAACACCCATGACTCCTTGAAAGTGAAGGTGTGTGCATTTCCCTGTGGTGCTTCATCCCCCGCCCCACCCCATAATCTGCTCTCAGAAGGGCTCTAAGATAATTCCCTCTGGGCCACCAGGAGCCCAGGCTGGGGAAAGGTGAAGCAGAGAGAGCAATCCTGACAATGGAATGGTATAAACTGGTCAGTGTGTAAAGAGTGTGCTTTTACTTTAGTTTTTATTATAATTTTAGTAGCAGAAACTCTTAAGCTTCTGAAAACTTCATTATCATGCATGAGTAATGCTTTTTGATTTTTGAATTCTTAGAAACAATTACTAAGTCCTTCAATTTCATCATTTAATATCTAGATTGTACTTGAATGGAAAATTCATTTGCTGGAAATTCATTTATTGAATTTATAAATTTAATTAATAAATTTAATGAATGTATAAATTCATTATTTATAGAAAATTCATTCTATAATTTTCTTATCATCTCTCAGTTACTTTCTCAACACTAATAATAAAGTGTAAATGTCAGAGAATCTTACAGTCTCCTAGCACTCTGTCCTCCAGAGTCTTTGTGTGATTTCTTCAACTATGTGGCAGGATAAAAAATAGCTATAGGAAGGCGTTTGAGTGGCTCATTTGTCTTGCTCTTGGTCTAGTAGCACATCCAAGTCGAATAAAGAAGTTGTTTTGTTTGGAACACTCAGTTATTTAATTAAGTGCAGTTAAAATACTAAAAGCATATAGAAAATGTAAATATTTTTGTTAAGTACCTTATATCCTATTTATCATTAATGTGTCAATATTAATAAATACAATAGTATAATGTATAATACAAAGCTTATAGCTAAATATAGTGGAGAAAATATAAACACGGAATGTGGCTTATAAACTGGGCTCTGTCTAGAAAATGTGTTGCTAACATTCCTTTCAAAATCCTCCTGGGCCCCAGATGCAGATTTCAGGAGCTCACCTCTCCCTAAAAGAGTCTCTTGGGGTGAGAGATGCAACCTGCAATTATCAAATGTCCCCTAATTTTTACATATACCTACATTGATAAAAATTGATATAGTTGGGTATCCTGCTACCACCATGCCAATAAATAAAGGAGTAAATATAAATAAAAGAGACAGAGAGAGATGTGGAGAGAGAGAGAGAGAGGGAGGGAGGGATATCTGAGTTGTTCAGATGGACATTTTATGTTCTCAGAAATCATGACTGGGGAGGTCTTCATTTTCCATGGTGCATATAGATGCAACATTAAACTGCATTCAGATTGTATGAATAAAATTCCTTAAAGTTACAAATTTTCTTTCTCAGTGCATTTGCTCAGTGCAAAGTATCTGATTGGGTAACTTACAAAGAATAGAAGTTCCTTCGGCTCATGTGTGGCGGCTGGGAAGGCTCAGAGCACAGTACCAGCATCTGCTCAGCACGCATGGTGCCTGTGCTGCATCCTCCCGGGGTGGGGACATCGACGGTGAGGGAGCGCAGTGCGCCCTGGAGTTTCTCTGCAATGCCACTGCACGTGCTCATGACTCCATCCAACCCAATTACCTCCCAAAGGACCCTCCTCCAAATGCTCCCATGTGTGAATCAGGGAATTGTGTTTCCAACACGTGGAAGGTTAGGGGACCCATCCAGACCGCAGCATTATTCAGTGTGAATTCCCAGGAGCATAACTCTGCTTAATTAACTTATTGGTTAGAAGTCAAAGATTTGCTTTGATAAACATTTTCTTACCATGCTAAGCAGTTTCAATCTCCCTAACAGCTCCTTGGCACATGTGGCCCTGCCGGTTTTACGTTTTTATGTTTTACACCTTGATGCACACCTGTCTTCCCAGCTTGACCTTGAGACCATGGGGTTGTGGGTTTGTCCCACACAGCACCGTGTCATGAACATCTACCAGCGTGCCCCTGACACACAGGGGCCAGGATGTGTTTCTTACTTGTGTGTGCTAGAGGGTAAGAAAGAGGAGATTTCTAGATACCTTGTGTGAACTGGTTCGCTGATGGATGCAGAAACTATATGAAGTTTCCCTTCCTCTCTGTCCATCTTTGTGACAGACTGACAAATCCATTGCTGCCTTGCTCCATTGGACCTCACTTCTCTGAGAAGGAATACTGAACAGATCACTCATTCTCTCTTCACCTCCTTATACTACATTTTATCCTCCTCAGCTGCAACCGAAGAGAGAGATCCCTCCAGCTCAAGGCCACAGATTCTTTCATTCCCCTGCATATACCATTCTCCGACTCAGAACTTATTTCTGAAGTTCATCCCTGCTTGCGCCCTGAGGGAATAATGGGTCACACATTGGACAGAGGCAGCTGCGTCCTAATGAGGTGTGAATGGGCTAGAACTGGCCTGGCTGGATTTAAACATGCTGCATGCCACTCAGAAACATCCAGTTAGGAGCAGGTACTTAGGCAAGTTCTGTGGGCCTCATACTCCCTATCCATGCAATACAGTTAGTAGTAGCAAAGCCAAACAGCAGTGTTGAGGACTGGGGTGGCCTAGGACTGAGATGGGCCCAGGACTGAAGGGTACCATGCCTGGCTCAACTGACTCTCGACCGACGATAGTTATAATTATCAGACATACTGCTTTCTGCCTGTACAGGTCAGTTCTCAGTGAAGACCTTTGTCAGAGTCCCTTGCCATTACGTCTGTACTGTTAAAGATCAAATTTTTTATATAAAAGAGTGTGCTCACTTTGTTCACTTTCTACTCCATTCTCATCTACTGCAAATAGATAAGAATGCCTGAAAATTCTAGTGATTGTAAATGTACAATGCGTTATCTATATTAAGCAAACACTGAGCCTTTCTCTTCTCTGACTACACTGCAATGATTTCCTTGCTTCTTTTTCCTCGATTCCAGAGACCAAGTCTAGAAAAGACTAAATGACTTGCAGTTAGGAGTTGAGAGTAGTTTACTCACATTAACTTTAGTCTAAGAATTGTGCTACTCTTGAGATTTAACTTAACCCTAAAATATTTCCAAGATTCTTGACTGCTCAGTGATGGATCTTTGAAATAATGATAGAGAAAAGAACTCAAAAGCAATTCAACAACTACTTTTGGAATGCTCCTTCTCTAATAATGTGAGTGAAATATTAAATATAGTCTTTTAAAGAGGAAATGTGAAAGGATGCATAAAATACAGACAAAAATGGATTACCTCTGTTTGAAAAAATTATTAGAAATACCAAGATTAAGAAAATTAAACTGAGTATTACCTATTATCCTAAGCAATGACTGGATGGATGGTCATAGGCACATTTCTAGAATTTTTTCACTATATCTTCACTAATATTTTTCACAATATCATATTAAATCAGACAGATGACTATGCCTTCTTATATACTTTCAAATAGAATTGCCAGCCTCAATAGTTCTAGATGGATCTAAAACATACAAAACATCAACATCTATATCTTCATAAATACAAAACCACAGGGTCCATCAACAGATCGGATTACCAAGAAAACAGTGTTTCATCGTTCATCCCAGCAGCTATCTTGAATACTGTAATAACACTGTTTTGAAAAACAGTACTTGTGATCCGAAAGTACAGTTTCATGATTGAGGCAGAATGGATTTGAAAGAACATTCATTTCGTTGCCTTATAGAAAACAAATGCTGTAAACTTCAGTACACAGAAATGTAAGACTGAAGTTAACAAGTACTACCAGGCCATTCATTCACTGAGGGATGCTTGAAATACAATCGTGCATACAGCATTGACTTTAAAGTTTATCAGGTATAAATGATTGCAGGAACTGTACTGCCTTAAAACAAAGCAAGTTTTTCCTCAGAAAAATTCTATGGTATATACTGTGCACCGTCCATTTCACCAGTCATTGGAGTAAGAGTTACATCTTTGCCCCAAAGGGAATAAAATCTGGTTAGACAGCAGACATGTGAAAAATAATTGTTACAGTATTAGAAGTGGACCATTATATATCTGTAAGCCACAAATTTGGTCCAGAAAACTGAACTGCATGTCAAATTCCCCTAAAAAAAAGTGAGAACTAGAAATATCCCAGCAAGGATTTGGAGAATAAAAAAGAGTCTTCTAGTTAGTCACAAGAAGAGGAAAATAAATATAAAATATAAATGAAATTCACTGGAAGTGGACATCGCAAATATGAAATGTATTTAGACACCTAGATTTATGGTACTTTAATTTATATTGACACGCATTTATCAGAAGTCTGAAAATGGAAAACTGGTCACATAAATTTGCAGAAGTGCAAAGAGAAACAAAAGTCTTCCAATGAGATGCCATTTCCAACATGTACAGAAATTAAGTTTAGGTTGCAAGGTGAGAAGTTAGCTGGCTGGGAAGGCCTGAGCGTCTATAACCCTTCTGAGGTGAACTTCAATTGGACCAATGATCTGACATCTTAGGGTCCTGCCTTGCTTATTCACCTGAAAACTAAATGTGGAGCTGTGTTTGGATTAGCCAAATAAGGGCCCCCTGGGCAAAGCTTTAAAACTTCTGTGGATCTTATGGGGATGAATTTTCGTTCTTTTCTTTTCTTTCTTCTGCTTACTTATTCCAGAAGTTCCCACCAAACAAGGGCCCTGTCTTTCCTGATTGAGTGTACAGTGTGATCATAAGCTTTCCACCACAGTAACAAGATGCGCAAGACAATCAGTTTGAAAAACAGGAAAGTGTGTTTTGGCTCACCGTTTCAGAGGCTCCAGAAGCTGCAGTTGGGGCCATCGTTTGGGGCGGGTGTTGATGCTATAATCATGCCAGAAGACATGGTGGGCAAAGGTTCTCACCTCCTGGCCTCTGGTGGCAAAGACAAAAGGTAGAAAGGATTGGAGTCTCACTGCCTGCCTGGCACACCCCCATGACCTGGCCAGGATCCCCAACCGGAGTCCGAGCCTTTAACACACGGGCCTTTGGGGGACACTTATCCAAACAAAAACAAAGGTATCCATCCAGCAACCAGATTCTCTGATCATTAAGAGGCTATTGTTGCTTCACAAATAAATTTTAAATTCTAAAAACATAATCAAATTTGTGGAAACAATATCAAACAATAGTAATTTTAATACTTTTTTTACACTACAGAAAGAACCAACAGAGAAAAAGAAAATAATCAATTTGATTATTTCTTCCACAGTGAGCAGCATGAATATTGAGCCACTTGACATTTCACTGGACTGATGTGGCTACAACCTCATTTATTAAAGCTCCAAAGGAGCATGAAAGTAAATTCCTGCTAAATTGCCATTAATATTTGGCAATGCTGCTTCTGGTCACTGAAAGGACTCTGGGATTAATTATAACAATGTTTAAAACATTTTTCCAATTCTTAATGTATTCCTTTACACAGCTTTGTTCAATCATTTAATTTTAAAATTGTATGGTCATACCAAAGGAAGGAGGGGACATACGACAGGCATCCTGTCTTGTTTTGTCTGCCCTTTCGCCTCCAACACAGTGTAGGAAGCAGGGCATAAACCAAAAGGAAAGGAAAGAGACAGTGAAATTGTGCTGTTTGCTCTTGGGTGGTTGGTTAAGTTTTAGATTCCTTTTGTCATTACAAAATATTTTTTTCAGTATACTGTTCCTCTTAAAAGCTCAACATTTTAAAGAGCCATGATTTTGATCCTTTGGAGACAATCATAGCAAAACCAACATCTAACTCCCCCTCAACTACTAGAACTGTTATTAATATTCTTTGCATCTTTAGCCTTGTCTAGAAGGATAGAAATGTATGCTTTTCTATGAATTGAAACACAGATGTTACTTTAGGGCACTGCCCGTGTAATCCAAAAGTAGTCTTCACTTCAGTCTCAGAAACAGTCAAGTGTCTATTTGTGTTTGAGTCTCAGCTTCCCCAGGGATTTAAAAGCCTACATATTAGCCCTGATTTATATTTAGAGACAAGTAGGAAGAGAAAAGTTTATTCAAATATATAATTTAATGAGGCTAAAAATACAGATGAGCTGTGCTTTGAAGATAACCCAGTGTAATCTAAGGGCGAGACAAATTACAAAAATAAGATTTTGGTCTCAAAAAGATTACTTGCTTTATAAAACATTTACCGAAGAATTCTTAAAAATAATGAAAGTCAATTATATTATTTGATTTATAGAAAATTGCATTAGCAAGAAATCAAGTGAGTATAACTAGGGCCTAGCAAATGTACTTTTTGTCCATTCCATGTTTTACCCAACAACTTTGTGACATTCATTTTTCTCTCTGCATATGGTAGGTAGCTTCTAACAACATTGCTCTAAACAAAATTTCATAGGATTGGGTCTAGGCCACGCAAAACCCTGCAACCTAGGGAGCAAAAGACAAATTTTTTAAAATAATGATCTCACCAGGTGACATCTTATTATGCTGTGCCTATCTGCCGGTTTGTGCGCACAGATATAACAGACATGGGATTTGCAGAGCGGGTGACGTTTGTTTTGTACCTTGGAGATCCGTGGTTTACAATTTCGCAGGGGCTGAGAGGCCTCTGCAAAGGGCCAGGCTGGCGCGGGAACTGAACCATCGCACCATCGCAAGCTCGTTGTACTCTCTGCTAGCTGGTTGCATTTTTTGTATTGATAACGTATAGTCCTTGAGACATTTCAAGCGTGCAAAAATGAATGGTCACTTTTGAGAGTCAATGAAAATATTTCAGGCGAGGAACTACGTAACCAAGCACGATGATCCACAATGCACACAGACAACAAAGTAGAAACTTCCTGGAGAGCTTCCACACGACACCAAGACATTCTGGCCTTTGCCCTAAGCCTGAGGTCCTGAACACCTACATGTTTAGTAAGGTCCTCAGAGCCTATTTTTGTCGGAGCGCCCTGATAATCTGTATACTGGTGTAGACCACACGGCCACAGACTTGGCAGCCAAAGCCGCGTGTGTGTTTTTGTCCCAGGTCCCTGTGAGTCTAGAATGGGGCCTGACTCAGCCGCGTCTTCACCAGGTGGCCGTCCGGATGCTGCCCAGCGCCGGGGTCTCCTCTGGGGCTCGCCTGGGGCAGTCTGGTCTTGGCGGACTCCGCTCCGTGTGAGTCCTCACATGGGATCCGGCTCCTCACCAGCTGCTGCAGGCCTTGCCCTCTGTCCCTTGTCACACAGGCCTGGCTCAGCCGGGGAGAGGCCGCCACGGTCGGCCAGGGAGACGTCCACTGCCAGAGGGAAGCTGCCGCCTTGGTCTGCGCGGTCATCCGAGGGACCCCAAGGCAGCAGATCCCGGCCGGGAGACCGGGACGCACAGTGCGCAGCCCCTCAGTGCTGGACGTGGGGCCCATTTCGACCCTTTCTTTGAGTGTGGTGGGGAACCAAGCGAGCCTCTGCTAGGGCGGCCTGGCTCTGGCTCCTGCTCTCTGTGCCGTGCTGATCCAAAACGGAAGCGCATTTCCCTTCCTGTTATGCGAGTATCTGCCGGCCTGTGCGCACCGGTCAGCTACAGACCATTTTGTTCCCGCTGCCCAGGCGAGCGTCTGTCTGGGGCTGGACTAGCCCGTCGTTTCTCGTCTCTGGGGCTGAAGGACAGAAAATGCAAGTTTTATGCACGTGGGTCTGTACTTCAGAAAAAAAAAATCTTTGTATCGGTATAGAATATTGCCTACTTCCATTAGGGACTAATTAATTAGATTTTGAAGTCCCTCTAATAAAAACAACCCTTTTGTCACGGACTAATATAAATTTCACATTTCCCCAACTTTGTAGAAAATAAAGAAGCTGAACTTTTCATACTTCATGTTAGGCTTTTAAAGGAAATGTTTTCCTTTTTACCAATAGTTCAGAATATTTTTATATGAGAATCCAAGATTATGCAATCAAACAAATCAGATTAACTGAATAAGTTTGGCTTAAAAACAGTTATATTTGAACTCATCGAAACAGTACAAAGGTGGTTATCAAAGGCTGCAGGCTGAGGACACAGTGGAGATGTTTGTCAAAGGACACAAGTGTCTTTTTGGTCCACTTTAGGTATACAATAGGAAGACATTCATCTCTTGGATCTTGCACCCTTATATGACTTATCTTGGTTCTTATTTTTTTCCCGTTCCCATGCCCTCCCCTCACCCCCTCCACCCTTCCCCATTTACAAAGACTTTGTTTCCCTGTTTTTCCTTTTCTCATGTTTTTTCTATTCCCTTCTTTCCAAAGGACACAAATTTCAAGGAAATAAATTCAAGAGAACCATATGTGGAGATTACAATGTGGAGATTACAGCTAGTAAGAATATATTGTAGTTAAAAATTGCTAAGAGTAATTTTAAATATTCTTCTCACATAAAAAGCATCTGAGGTCATGTTAACATATGTTAAGTGGCCTGATTTGGCCATTCCACAATATGCCCATATATCAAAACATCATTTTATGTACCATAGATACAATTTTAATTAAATACATCAATGCAAATACACTGCTATAAGGCTTTCCTTGATGTTATCAGATTTGTGTTTGTTTGAATACTAGTTGACACTGCTTCCTCTAAACTCCTAAATTTCTTATATTGCTTTACTGATCAAATAAGTTCAAATTTATTTATATTTATCAAATATTATTTAATGGATAATGCAAAAGCCTTCTAAACAAAGTGACAGTATTCTTTTTCAGTTAAAAAGTTCCCCCAGGCATCCAAAGTGTATTTATTAACTAGATTTAATATTAGTTCAAGATATAAAGTTAAATAAAAACTTAGATATCATCTTTTAAACTGACACATTAGAAAACGTGATTTCTGCCGATATAAAGCAATTCGTCAAGACTTGATTCAACTTATATTAACAGTTTTGTATTATCCATTGTTCTATTTACTTCATTGTTTTTGTTTTGTTTTGTTTTGTTTTGTTTTTGTAAGAGATGGATCTCACTATGCTGCCCAGGCTGGTCAGGAACTCCTAGGTGCAAGTGATCCTCCTGCCTCAGCCTCCTGAATAACTGGGACAGTATAGACAAGTACCACTGCACCTAGCAGAAGGCATAGGTTTTGGGACGTGTCATTTTGATTCTCAGTTTAGTGCATCACAGAGTGAGAGAGGAACAGATTGGCAGGAACTTGAAGCAGCAGCTTGGGAGAAAACAAGCAGACACCTGCACCGTTTGGAGGTAAGAGCGGGGAAGCAGGTCAGCTGTAGAGCAAGGCAGCCCTGCAGCCCTGAGAGAAGCAGCTGAATGCAGCCGAGGGCAGTGAATCCGACCCTGGGTTCACTCTCAGCTTCATTCCGACGCATTTCCAAGCTAAGATTTCCACCCAGAGAGGCGACGCACCACGTATGTGAGCACATTTAGACGCTTCAGAGCGCAAGCCCGGGCAGTGAGCGCAACTCCGCACTGCAGAGGCCCCTCTCCTTCGGGGAGAACCGCGTAAGGAAATCAGTGGAAGCCGCTGCGTCAGGCCAAAGCGCAGGGGTCCTTGGGTGGGGCTGCTGTCCTGCGGAACCGCGGTCAGCTATAGATAATATGCACATATTAATTCCTTAGGGTAATTAACACCGCATGAGGAGCACACAACTGCGAGACACATGGCGTTTGAAATATAACAAGATCTGCAGTTTTCAGAAGGAAAAGAGGCTTTGTTTTAAACTGAAATGCAAAATTATCCTAATAGATAAAAAGAGCATAATGAGGGGCAAAATGTGATTTTGTATAGCAAGTTGAAGAAGGATCAAGAATTAAATTTATTTTCCTGGTTTTATATATATATATAT